AGGTGGGAGGATGGACAAAATGAGTGAAGGAGAGTGGGAGGTATAGACTTCCAGCGATGGAATGAGTAAGTCAAGGGAAAGAAGGAACAGCATAAGAAATGTAATGGATGGTATTGTAATAGTGCTGTATGGTGGTAGATGGTAGCTCCTCTTGTGCAATATGTAATGCATGAACATGTCAAACCACTTTACTGCACACCTGAAACTAATGTAGCATTTTGCCTCAAATATACTTCAACAGGGAAAAAAAAAAAAAAAAGGTCTCCTATGCCTACCATACCACTTGATATTAAGTAGGTTGCACTAAAGATTTGTAGAATCAATTAGATGTGATGTGAATCAATTTAGCTTTGACACTTCAATGAAGATTTATGCTTTAGCAGAGGAAATGAAGCTAAAAAGCTAGAAAAATTTGAGAATATTGTAATTAATATCAGTAGGGGCGAAAGTAGAACTTGAATTTATCATTAAAGGGTTTTAATTTTTTTCTTAAACTCAAATAAGTTTTCATGTTCTTTTGATAAGTTTATATTTAGATTAGGTAAGAATTCTAGTTCATCAGTGATTTTATTCTCTCTCCCTGGTATATTATTACTGTGATTTGCTTTTGCTGCACTTCTTTTCAAGCTACAATTGAGTTAGAATCTCCCATCTCAAAAAAAAAAATTAAGATGCATTCATGCAAACTCATAATACCTCAGATCTCACACTTTATCTTTTCTCTTTATATCTGGCTTCTTGAAAAGAGAGAAAATTTTTAAAAAAGAAAGTGACAAAGTATTTATTTTCCTGTTTAACTATGGTCCTTTCAAACACCTGCTATTAAAAATTACCAATAATCTATTTTTCTCCTTACTGCTAAAACAACAAATTGTTTTTAACCTTCCATTTACTTGAACTTTCTGCAGTATTTATTGCTTATTATTTTTTAAATTCACTATTTATTACCATTGACTTTTCTGTCTTGCAGGAGAGTATCATTTCATGGCTTCCTTAATGTCTCTCTCTCCTGGTCCACTTCTACTGCTGTCTATCATTCATTCTTAGTACTTTTATTGAAATCTCTCAGTCATCCCCTCCCCCACCTCACTTGGTATATTGCCTAAGATTCTCTCCTTGGTACTCTATTCCTTTGGGCTTTTCATCTTTTCATTTTCCTTTCTCATCCTCAGTGATATTGCTCATCCTCAGAAAGTTTAATTCCTACCAAAATGTTGACAATTCTTACATACAAATGGAGCTCGGGATCCTTACTTATCACCTTCCATGCAGCATGTACAAGGGTCTTTGGGTAACTCCAACTGTATGTTCCAGGCATCTCAAACTCAAATTGGATTCAACATCATTTCTATTCCTCCTGTAGCTTCTATCTTAGTTATCAGCACCACTTACATAACATCCGATGGGACTTAGTCAACCTATGCTCTTTCTTACCTTGTCTTCTCACTCATAACCAGTCACCAAGTCTTTAAACTCTACCTCCTCAGCTTCTGATTCCTCCTCCTCATTTTCATGCTACTTCAATTCAGGTTCCTCTAATCTTATGCTTAGACTAGTGCAAAATACCTACCTATTAGCTCATCGAGTTTCCTACTCCTTCAATTCATCTTCCTCATTGCAGCCAAGGCAGTCTTCTAAGAACACAAAACTCATTATGTTACTCCCTGTTTAAATCTTTCCATGAGCTCATTTTACAGACGTAGAATCAAAATTCCTGAGTATGATATAATAGGCCCTTTTTAACTTTCCATACTGCTTGTATTGCTTATTGTTCTCCAAAAACACAAAGTTACTTAAGACCTCCAAAACTTTTCTCTCATGTGTCTGTCTGACTATAGCAGCCCAGGCCTTTAAACCCTCCCATTTTTGCTTTCATATAATGTGGAACCTCTTCAAGTCAACTCAACTCCATGGCCATTTCCTCCTTCAAACCTTGCCCAATCTCCTCTACCCCTACCAGATAGAAGTGACCAGGCTCTCCATTGTATCATGTATATACTTCCATCGTGGCACCTTATCATACTTATTGCATAGCTAAGAGTTTTACTAGACTTTTAAGTTTCCTTATAAACAGGCATCCTATCATATTTGGCATTATACCTGTAGTACTTTTCAATACACCTGGCATAACATGAACCTGAGCATGACCTGAACATGAACTTTCTTTGGAAAGACGGTATGAGGACATTGTCTTTCACTTTTCCTTTTTATCTTCTTAATTGTTTAGCATTTTTAAGAATGAACATAACTTTTATATTGAAAAATGAAAATCAAAAAAATAAATGAGTAAACATAATTTATCTTTATTAATTCTAAAGAAAAAAATTTAACTTTCCATTCATAATGATGCCACAATATTATGTTGAATTTAAATCTTCTGCATTGCCAAAATATTCTTGGAACAATTTTTGCTCTGTTACTTTTAAAAGAAAAATTACATCAAATCATTTTCTAAGACACAACTAAACTTCTGTAGGGACATTCCTCTACATATTTGCCTTATAACAAGATGAAAACAAGATATCATATGTGTAGGGTAAGATAACTGTTTACAGAAGTTTGCCTTCAAGGCACTTTGTAACCTCTACTCCTACTGTTTCAGTTTCCACTTCTATGGAAAGATTGCCAGATGTTTCTCGCTAAGTGTTTCATCCTGCCCCACCTACCTCTCACCCTTGAGTTCAGTAGAACTTATTTGTACACTCTGTCCCTGATTATGCTGATCACCAATCCCTGTGAGAGTTCCTGGCTCTAGTCAAAGGTGAAAAATGAAGTTATACACAAGCCACTTAAAACCACAGCCCTGAGAGCTGATTCTTCACAGGATTTGTTGGAGGAAAATATAACGTATCTTATTACACATATCCGGTGACCACAGAAACTGACATCCCAATGTTGTCATTTGCTTCCCATCAAGGAGGCTGGAAGTCCCCACTATCTTCTTACAGCTTAGTAGAGGGTTTAGTAAAAAGAAAAAAAATAACGTCACATCAGGGGGTCTCAGGTGGTAATCACTCAGTGAACAGAAAGGGAATGGAAAGGTTTAACAGGGGAAAAGGAAGAAAACCTAAAAGCTATGTGATAAAGGAGAAGTGGAAGAGAACAGTGAAAATGTGTGTGCCCAGATTTATAGAGGTAAAGGAAACCTGACTGTCAAAAGAGAAAGGACATACTAAGATACAGTCACTGAATGAGACTCACTCTGATGTCAACTGACACAAAAATGTTAAACAGAACACTTGGGAATTCTCAAGGAATTCTATATTGAAGGAAAATGCACATTTCTGGTATGTCTGCAATATGGCAAGATCTTTACATAACTTGTCCACCTTATACCCCAACCACCTTATAAGAGAAGTGTTTGAATTGAATTATAAAATACTTAATTTGTTACATTTAGCTTCCAACTTATACTTTCATTTCCAAATAATTCACCTTCTGACATAGTAATAAAAATATTTTTTTTCAGTTCCTACAAGACAGAATTCACATACATAGAGAAGGATCTTTTTCCTTGGGCAACTCAGCCAAAGTAAGGCAGAAATGTGACTTGAGTTCTAGTGGAAAGACCTCACAGTAGAACACAAACAGGACTAGGATTTAAAAGCAGGTGTGCTGGGGTGCCTGGGTGGCTCAATGGGTTAAAGCCTCTGCCTTCGGCTCAGGTCATGATCCCAGGGTCTTGGGATCGAGCCCCGCATTGGGCTCTCTGCTCAGCAGGGAGCCTGCTTCCTCCTCTCTCTCTCTCTGCCTGCCTCTCTGTCTACTTGTGATCTCTGTCTGCCAAAAAAAAAAAAAAAAAAAGCAGGTGTGCTGCTTACAAACTGTGATATTGGGGATGCCTGGGTGGCTCAGTGGGTTAAGCATCTGCCTTCAGCACAGGTCGTGATCCCAGAGTCCTGGGATCAAGACCCACATCAGGCTGCCTGCTCAGTGGGGATCCTGCTTCTTCCTCTGCTTGCTGCTCCCCCTATTTGTGATCTCTATCTCTCTGACAAATAAATAAATAAAATCTAAAAAAACAACAACAACAAAAAAAAAACTGTGATATTGGACAAATTAAGTATTCTGGGTTCTCAGTTTCTTCATTGATAAAATGTTTCTGACAGTAAACATGTATATAGTGAGTATTATGTGCCTAGAATTATTTTAAGCACTTTTATATGTAAAGCATCTCTCTTATAAGATGGTTGGAGTATAAGGTTAATAAGTTCTGTTTTATGTATGTATGTGTGTGTGTATATATATATGTACATATATATATACACTGAGTTGCCCAGGAAATAAGATCCTTCTCTATGTATGGGAGTTCTCTCTTCCATGGACTGAAAAATAATAAAAGGGAATGAGATGGGATATAATTGCATCTGAGTCCACTATTTAATCAGCAAATAACAGAATTTTAGAGCTAAAGGACCTTAGAAAACATTTATTTTAATCCCCTCTCATTTCACAGATGATAAAACCCAATATGATTCTCCAAAGACCTCACAACTTCAAGATGCAGAATTATGACAGCAGAACACCAGGGTTGGTGTGTCTGCTTGGAAACCTCCCTCTAAAGCATGAGCTCAAAACTAGCAAAAAGATAGCCTTTATAAATCCAAGTTTCCAGATCAAATCACAGATGGCAAACAAAGCAGCATTGGATCTGGCCTTCACAGGAATCCAGGAAGGGACAGAAACAGTGCTTGAATTCTACATACAATCTCACTTTTGTACACTATACTGACTTGTTAAAAACAACACACCCTTGACTGCAAACCACTGTGCCAACAACATAATCGTAGAAAAACAAAGATCTGTGCATCTACTAGAGTTTAATTTTTCAGATGTTTGTATACATGGCACACAAATTATGGAAAATGCACAGTTATTACATATAAGTGTAAGTCATGAAAACACTTTCTCCTTCCCTCACTTTGCACATTCCTCAGAGACATAGTTCATCTCACGTACTGCTCAAGAGTGACCAGTTTGGATAGCTGGAGACCGAGTACCTGTGTGCCTAGCCTCTGGCCGCTGGGTCGTAGAAGAGGCTCGAGATGACACACTCATGACGGTGTCCCTATCAAAGTCCAGCATGTCCCTCGTGCTGCTGTACTTGGCCTGCATCTGGACTCCTGCAGGGGTGAGGCTGCGCTGCGGTTTGATTGCCCCGAAGCTGTGTAGCTACTGGGAGACAGTGCAGGAGCTACGGTGCTGAAAGTCATTCCTAATGTTCTTCTTTCCCAGCGAGTAGCGGGGGAAGCCTCTGACTCCAGTTCCTGCTTGGACAGGCCCAGCCCCTCTCCTGGGAATTTGTACTCTAAAGGCCAAGTTGGTCAGGCAGGGAGGAAATAGCATGTGTTTTCTATTTGGGCGGTCTCTGTCTGAACAATTATTGAAGGGTTGTCCTTCTCAGATCCCTTTTGTTCATTTATTTGTAATTCCTGTGTAAGTATAGTGTAAAAAAGGCAGACTATACGATCACACAGAGATTCCTTCAGGCTCTGCGGAGTAATAATCAAGCAAAGGAATACATATTATCCAGTCTCTTACGTACCAGACACTCATAGTGTCACTTAAATGAGGTTTAACTTCTGAAAAGAGAAGAGATCATAGGACCAGCTTCTTCCTTTCTCCAAGGGCATAGTTTAAAGCATCATATCCATGAAATGTCAGCACAGAGTCTTTTTGAGATGCTCTATGGATTCTACATTTTCATTTTTACAAAAAAGGAGATGGAAGCCCAGTTAGATAAAGTGGTTGTTTTATTTTTTATTTTATTTTATTTTATTTTTTTTTAAAGATTTTATTTGTTTATTTGACAGAGAGAGATCACAAGTAGACAGAGAGGCAGGCAGAGAGAGAGAGAGGGAAGCAGGCTCCCTGCTGAGCAGAGAGCCCGATGCGGGACTCGATCCCAGGACCCTGAGATCATGACCTGAGCCGAAGGCAGCGGCTTAACCCACTGAGCCACCCAGGCGCCCCAGTTGTTTTAAAGTCACATAATGTCTTAGTGACAGTATGAGCTTCAGAAGTGTTCTCCTGTTGAACTTCTCCAGGAACAAAGGAGCTGTGAGGTGCTGTTACCCTTCCCTGCCCCTCAGCATAAACAACAACCAACTGCAGAAACCAATGTGGTGCCTAATTTGCCAACACACACACCCCTAACCCCCAACACCACACTCCACACACACACTTCCACACACCTGTCCCTTCTAGTTATGTTTGCCTCATAACCGCGGGTGCCCTCACCCAGGAGACTGGCATAAACTGGGCCAACACCCAGTCTCCTACCCCCACACACTTTTCCGGACCCTGGGCCAGCTTTGGTAGTGAGCAGAAGACATGAACAGACATTTCTCCAAGGAAGACATTCAGATGGCCAACAGGCACATGAAAAGATGCACAATCGCTCTCATCATCATGGAAATGCACATCAAAACCATAGTGAGCTATCACCTCACACCTGTCAGAATGGCTAAAACCCAAAAATCAAGAAACAGCAAGTGTTGACAAGGATGTGGAGAAAAAGGAAACTTCTTATCCTGTTGGTGGGAATGCAATCAGTGCAGCCACTGTACACATTGATAGATGAACGGAGATACATATATGTCATATATATATATATGCATACATATATATATATATGAATATTATTTAGCCATTAAAAAAGAATGAGATCTTGCCAGTTGCAATGACTTGGGTCGAGCTAGAGAGTGTGATACTAAGTGAAATAAGCCAGACAGAAAAATACAAATACCATATGATTTCATTCATATTTGGAATTTAAGGGAAAAAACAATGATAAACCAGAATAAAAAGAAAACCAGAAAAAAAAAGAGATAAACCAGAAAGAGATTCTTAACTACAGAGAATAAACAAATGGTTAGCAGAGGGGAGGTGGGGTGACAGGTGAAGGGGATTAAGAGTACACTTATCTGATGAGCACTGAGTAATGTATGGAAGTGTAGAAGCACTGTATTGTACACCCAAAACTAATGAGACAATGTATGTTAACTACACTGAATCTTTTTTTTTTGAAGATAAGGAATCTGTTTATTTTTTTATAAACATATAATATATTTTTAACACTGAATCTTTTTTTAAAGTATTCTATTGTCAATTCAATGATCTTTCTTCTTATAGTATATGAACTCAATTTAACATTTTGTAGACCATGGTCATGAACAAATTACACATTTTTTAAATTTTTTAATGATTTTATTTATTTATTTGAGAGAGAGAGAGAGAGAGCATGAGAGGAGAGAGGTCAGCAGGAGAAGCAGACTCCTTACCGAGCAGAGAGCCTGGTGTGGGACTCGATCCCAGGACTCCAAGATCACGACCTGAGCCGAAGGCAGTTGCTGAACTAACTGAGCCACCCAGGTGCCCCAACAATTACACATTTAGCGGGAAGTCAGGACTTTCAGAATTATTGCTAACTACATGTGACTTTACATGTGACTCCAGGAAGGCAGGTAATAATTTTTACCTAAATTTCCTAAGCTGAGAAGGAAATGAAAAGACTGTTTTAGATAATGTCCAAAAATCCTTCTTGAATCAATAAAATATAATTGTATTATTTCATCAACACTTTTCTATGTTTGGGTTATTAGCTTAGCTAAATCAAGCATACCAAATAATAAAAAGAAATGGAGAAGATGCTTGGGAGGGAACAGGCAGGCCCTAGGAGGGAGGGATTGGGAAGCACATATTATTGATTTATTATATGTCTCAAACTATGTATTGTTTATCAGGTCATTCTAAATAAAACAAACCCAAAGAGACCTTTCTCTTGCATCAGGCCTTGTAAAAAGTAGAATAAAAAATTATCTGGTCACTCGCATTGGATTGATGTATTAGAAAATGCTACAGGAGGGGCGCCTGGGTGGTTCAGTGGGTTAAGCCTCTGCCTTTGGCTCAGGTCATGATTTCAGGGTCCTGGGATTGAGCCCCGCATCAGGCTCTCTGCTCAGCAGGGAGTCTGCTACCCCCACCCCCCGTCCCCTTCCTGCCTCTCTGCCTACTTATGATCTCTCTTTCTGTCAAATAAATAAATAAAATCTTTAAAAAAAAAAAAAAGAAAATGTTACAGGAGATAAGGCAGTAAAAAAACTTGAAGGAAGAGGTAAGTGAAACACATAAGAGAAAGGAGAGGGAAGGTCAAATATCAGAAATTGCAACAGCTGGGGCCTGAAAGAATACATTTAGAGGGTGCTGATAATGATGAGTCTGATAAAGCAATTAAAACTATTCTGCAAACTTCATTGACTCAAGTAGATCCTTGATGCTTTTCACCAAATAACTTACACTAACATTTTTTCCTACTTGTCCTTAAACACTTATTTTTTCAACAATGACAAAAATATCTTTTTTTTTTTTTTTAAAGATTTTATTCATTTATTTGACAGAGAGAAATCACAAGTAGGCAGAGAGGCTGGCAGAGAGAGAGGAGGAAGCAGGCTCCCTGCTGAGCAGAAAGCCCGATATGGGGCTTGAACCCAGGACCTGGGATCATGACCTGAGCCGAAGGCAGCGGCTTAACCCACTGAGCCACCCAGGCGCCCCATAAAAATATCTTTTGACAGAACACCTAATTTATTTCAGGTGCTATTCTCAGATTCTAAGATGCATCAGTATAAAACAAAACTTTCTGTCTTTTAGAACCTATGTTTTATGGAAGAAGCCAGATAACATGAAAGATAGTAAGTGAATAATAAAGCATATGAGAGTATAATAAGATGTATGAAAATATGTGGAAGGTATGGAAGATTAAGAATATACAAAAAGGAGGGGCACCTGGGTGTCCCGGTATTTGGGTGACGGACTCTTGATTTAGGCTTTGGTCATGATCGCACAGTTGTAAGATTGAGCCCTGCATCAGACTCTATACTCACTGGGAAGTCTGCTTGAGATTCTCTCTCCCTCTGCCCCCCCCTAAAATAAATAAATAAATCTTAGAAGTAAAGAAAAAGAATATACAAAAAGGAAGGTTGGTGATTTTATTTTATTTATTTATTTTTTAAGATTTTATTTATTTATTTGACAGACAGAGATCACAAGTAGGCAGAGAAGCAGGCAGAGAGAGAGAGGAGGAAGCAGGCTCCCCACAGAGCAGAGAGCCCGATATGGGGCTCGATCCCAGGACCCCGGGATCATGACCTGAGTTGAAGGCAGAGGCTTTAAACCACTGAGTCACCCAGGTGCCCCATGGGTTGGTAATTTTAAATACGGCAGTCAGACTCAGCCTCATTAAGAAAATGCTATATGTGAGACTTTAAAGAAGTGCAGGAACAGGTCCTGCAGTATCTAGGGTAAGAATCATTCAGGTGAAGAGAACAGAAAGCTCAAAGGCCCTGAGGTGGAAGCATGCGGGTCATTACGAAACAAGAGAGAAACCAGATGGAATGAATGAAGAGGACGAAAGTAGATTAGGTCAAAGGAGTAAAGTGGCCCACAGACAACTGAAAAGGTCTCTTCCTTTTCATTTCGATTTATCTATATTTGGTTTTACTCAGAGGTACATGGGAAGTCAAGGAGATTTTGAGTAGGGGGCTGAGATGATTTGTTTTAAATTTAAAAGAATCACTCCACTATGTTTGAAAAAGGAGCTTAAGAGGACAAAGGTGGACACTGGGAGATTACTTTGAAAATTACTGCAATACTTCAGGCCAGAGAAGATGGTCCTCCAGTAAGTGTTTCCTGTAGCATGATCGTTACTCAGCCTTTTACCCTTTTACCCTTTAGACAGAAGTTCAGCTAGTAACTATTTTCCCTTTTCTGTCTCTTGGAAAAATGGGTGTTTCCTGTTCATTCCCATGTACATGGCCATGTAAACTGTGATAAACATGTATTAACAAGTCAGGTATAATATGCTTGGACAATCTAGAGCATCTTACTTTATACCATCATTTTGTAATAGTCACACTTTTATCTTTAAATCATAAATATTTAAAAAACAAATATTGTTGTCTGTTCTAAGTCTGTTCTAAGTCTGGAAATTCCTCATCCAGAATTATTTTTGATCATTATGACTTCTCAAATCATTCACGCCATCCTAAGGACCCAGGAGGAACTGATCAAACCAAAAACAAAATTAAAAGACATGATATCTCTTCAAAATCTCA